GTACCACTGTGGCATCACGTGAAAGTGCTTCTACGAGGAAAAGGTAGTGAAGCTTAGTTAGACACCTATATTCACTCTCGCTTACCGGGATCTAGAAACAGTTCTTCTCTTCGACATTCACTCGCCGTATGTAAGTATGATAGCTATTATGATCGTAACCGTCCATATATGCATTCAATCAAGTGGCGGGTTTTCACCGATTTGACAGATAAGTCTTCATGTCTGTCGTTAGCTTCTTGGACGGAGGTTCCCTAAATTCCGTCGAAAAATCGTAGAATTCGGGATAAAGCGTTTCTGCAGGTCGGAAACTGTGGGAGTTTCACTATGAAAGGCTGCGTGATGCCAAATCCAAGAGGTAAGACGTCGAAGGGGTGCGTTTTAAGCTGACTAGCTGGGTACACAGTGAACTATGCTAGTGCTACGTCGCCTCAGATTTCGAGGTATCTAAGAATATTGTGCGCCATTACAGGTCTATGTGCTTGAGGTTAGCACTTTTTTCTGTCACATCTCTGCAGCTGTGCACGTCAGTAAACCCACTTGGTCAGAACATGATGAAACCTAGTGCATCAAGTGCACAAAACCGTGGGAATTTGATGTACCTAAGCATGGATACCAGCAGGTCCGTCGGTATATGAACTTTATTTTAAACATTGAACTACTAAGATATTAGGAAGTAGGCCGACGTCTATGAAAATAAGTGTAACCTGACTACCAACATTGATCTTTCACACCCGATAGCCGGTTACCTTGGCTATGGTTACTTAATGATGACTTCAAACTGAAATGCCGGGTACTGCGCGATAACAAACGTATACACAAGGTATTATGTTCGGTATGTCCCCAGTTGATATAGATAAGCCCATATGACTTTCCTACTTAAATTATTCTTCCCCCTTCTGGTGGGAGAAAAACTACGATTATGCCTATCATTGCGTGGACACTATACCTTACTTTCGATCGAATTTATCGGTGGCTTTCTGCTCACCTGTGACCTGCTTTGACAATGCCACCAGTTCATCGGTTAACCTAGTGCAATTTGGCAGTGGATAGATGACACGAAAGTGCTGATACGCTTTGTCTTTGTCTCCTAAATGTCCGCTCCTTGTTCCGGTGTTCTTCTTGTCCGGAACATTCAGTACGAAAAGGTTTCTCAATGAATGAATACAGTACATTTGGACGGAATGTTAACTTCCGTTTTTTTTCTGAGAACAGCTACACAAGGCGACGGTTTGTAATATTCACATAAAGAGTGGGGTTGTGTGTTACGGCTTCAGAACCTAAACCGTGCAAGCTAACTTTTAAGTTTGGCTCAGTTGAAGACATTGGCAGTGTGCCCACTATTTTTAACACTCACTACATGATTCCCATGGCTTAGCTCACATTCCATAATTTGGACAATGCACTCCAAGTAAAGGACGCCCAACTAGCAACCAACATTTTAAACAATTGTTTATTACATACAAGTTCGATTATCTACTTTTTTAATGTGACTAGTATCGTCTGAGTGGGTTGTAGCGACCTAGTCGCTCATATGACCACATTCACAGGACAGGGTAGGTGATAGGCTTAGTGCAAAAAATAACAGTTAGAAGGCACCATACATGATTCATGCTATCTGCCTAAAATATGCTTAGGAAACTCAACCATTGGTGTGCATGTAAAGGTTAGTAGCATTTATGGAAGAAATTTAAAACAGTTATTGACCATATGTTTTGCCCAAACTTTTTCAAGCCTCCCAAGCAGTGTACACTGTTTGTTCGACCAAAGATTGTGTGAAACATCAAAAAACAATTGTCATGTCTCCACTATGGTGAGCCAATTTATCATCAAACAGTCAGATTTATCATGAAGATTTATCTGAAGATTAACTTACCTTAAAACAAAAATATGACCGAACCAACTTGTCCCGGCCGATTCATCGTGAAAAAATTATTGCTGAACAAATATAACGTCAACCAGGTGGCTACAAGAATAAATGATCTTCAAAGCAAGCTATTGCGGAATGAGAAATGCCACTAGCCGCTCCTGAGTTAGTCCACGCTCTCCATGTACGCTTCCAAAGGATTTGGAAAAAAAACTGACATTGCAGGCCAGGTCCTGACAGCCAAAAGGATACTGGAAATATCCGAAAAAGCCCAGATTGATTAATCCGCCAAACGTCAGTAGTTGGCAGTCACGAACACACGCCATTCACTTGGTTCAGTGCTGTCATTGATTAACCCAATTAACTACCACCAGTAAGAATTCACCCTGGGCTACTCTGTTCAGTGTGTCACCTCGGTCATGTGATGTCAGCCCCCGTAGCTATATCCCATCGGACTCATGAAATCAGCAACATGACTGATGGTCGAGCCAAATCAATCATACAGCTTCAAGACCCACCGGAAATCGTGAATTCTGTGTCCAAAAAAAGTTTAATCTTAGCGATGTAAACTTGGAATAACGAAGGCTTCTGTTTCATTTTACTCTGCAGGAAAATCTTCCAAATAGTGCGCACAGAGAAAAAGAATCAAGAACCATCCATCGACCATTATTCTTACCTCAGAGCAAAAGGAGTTTTGACGGGCACGAATAAACTACAAATGTTCGGTGGAACTCCTCTCCTGTAGGTGAAGACAATGCATGCTCAAAGTCATTGGAAACCATTAACAATGCGGTCCCAATGAAACCAGTGAAACCAATGAAACCAATGAAATAGACAAGGTATCGGGTCAGTCATCCTTCAAGTACAGAATCCAAATAAGTTTGTAGGGTGGGCTGACTGGTTCCTTCGTCCACGAATTCTCGCGTGGAAGTTGCATCCAATCATGTGAAGTGCCCTCCCTCCAATCTACTTAATAATGATGGGTAGTTTGGGGAAACCTCAAATTTGTCACTGAGAAATCCTGGAAGTCAGTCGGTCTACACTCAAAACCACTGCCCAAAGTCAACGTTAGGATGAATACGCTACACAGTACATCCGGCTTCTAGAACATACTGACTTCACTTACCAGACGAAATCTCCTCTAATAATCCCAACCATGTCATAGTTTCAAACGCCCTTTTTTAACTACAGGTGTGTTTGGGGAACACTGCAGTTTCCCCCTTGATGGCGTGATCTAGAATTTCTTTTCTGAAATGACGTCGATATCATCGCATCCGAACTCTACCATCTGGCACTGAAATGTCTTTGGAACGCTCAATGTAATCAGATAATAAAGCAAAGCCCTCTAGAACACGACTCCCAACAAAATTAGACCCAATTCGATCGGATTTCGTTTGCCAATCACGCAACACACACGGAGTTCACTGGGGTCTAACTTGCAGGGTTGTCATTTGATCTAGAATCCCGGAACTGCATAAGGTACCACAGTGCATGTTTTGATCCGTGACAATAGAAGTAACATAGAAGCCAGACAACAGAAATTAGCTGAAGGGAAGAACTGACTGACTGATGCTGTGTACACCAAACGACCACACGAACTGCAACAGTTACGCTTTCGTCTTTGGGAGCCCAGCTCCAACCGACAAATAGTAGGCGTGTGTGCTTACATTCAGATCATATGCATCCACGTCCAGCTCAAACTGAGCATCCACGAGCTGTGGGCGAGACAACCGAGACCACAAATACGACAAAAGAAGTGGATCGAAGGCAACCGGAAACACGTGACTAGCTTGGAGAAAAATCTAATGTCGTACACGCATGACCATACATGCACTAGCATCTAAACCCACAGATATACCCACAACACATACAACCTAATCACGTCTCAGGTTTACTGTCTCATCAGTTAGTTGCTACTCCGAGCCACTGCCCGTGATTCCAGCCTTACATCCCCGTCAGGTGTATATTTACTTTGATGTGGTTGATGTAGGATTGTTCTGTCAGACAGACTAGAGTACGTATAATCCGTTTACCACTAGGCAGACGCATAAGAGATAAAACGTCTCCTGACGAATCACTCTCCATCGCTCAATCTATTGAGATAAACTGGTTCCGCTACCAAAATGATGCCTTTTGGTGGAAGTAATCTGTATATTAGGCTTTTGATTTTACATTTCCACGCTTCACATTACCTCGCTACCCTTTGTTCGTCCGGTCTGTCTGCCGGAGCCAAATTCATCATATGCACATTACTGAGGACACATGATATACAGGTAGGACAATGCATGCGTACCACACCAGGGATAGATCACAATATGGACCAATTGGCCAAAGAGATAGTAGTCTTCAGAGTGCACCCATCAATGCATGTGCCTTGATCCTAATTTACCCCAGCAATGGGAGATCACGCTAACTGAAACGTTGCCGTAATCTACGAGATCCAGGTGCGTCTAATTTTTTTCTTCACTGGTTGATGGAATTGGTTTGTAGCTACCCCGTCACCCACACGCTTGACTGTTCAGCTCATAGTCGCTCACGAGACTTGTCTTTTTTCATGCGCGCAAACCACGTCACATCAAGGTGACGCATCGGACATCGATTGTCTGCACCGTCTAGTGAGCGTAGCAACACCCACGTGCACGCAAACGGACCTACTGATAGGGAAACCGAACACAGTGAGTACACACACAGTACACATCCGCGCAGGGAGCAGGGAGTCAACCTCTTCACAAGTCCACGGACAATTATGGAACACGTGTAGCAGTCGCACTGCGGAGAAAAACACGTTCTCACCGTCCGGACTTTCACCAAGGGACCCTCACATACGATAAGTTCTCTTTTGACTTGCTCCACATTTTATGTTGCTTTTCTTTTATACATGCCGCAAATCGCTTCTGTAAACCATTGTCAACCATACAAAAAATTTTATTAGTGCATACACCTTCTGATTTGTATTATGGCTATCACCACCTGTGGACTAATAGTTGATCGATTCGCAAGAATGCCTGCTAAAAACCGTAGCTTGACTCTTACCAACTACACCAGCTGGTGACGTAAACAAGAGTCGTTACATTTCGGCGTTGTCACTCCAGCCGAGATCGCTATTCCACTGATATTCTGTTATTTCACTGTCCAGCACAGTGCAGAGCCAAGGTCCGCAAACCAAACAACGGCGAGTGGAATGTTGGCTCAGTAGTGTGGGTTGTGGTCGTCCCTTCCGCAGCCCGTCTCGTGATGCTGATTAGCGATACGGTTACATGGATGTTGTGGCAAAACAAGTCAGGACAGGCTCAGCAAACGGGGCACAAGCATGCATGGGTAAGTAGGTCAGCTGAGCACATTTGCACACATGCTAATATGCTAGTGTCGGACGGGAAGGCCTTTGCGGCGAGATGAATGGTGGGTGCAGATGAGCAAAACAAGTGGAGCTCAAAAGTACACGGGCGGAGTAAGCAAGTGAATGGGGGGTTGGTGGGGTTCAAAATTGATCCAGCATCGTGAAATCGTGTTTTCAGCTCACTAATCCACTCCACGGAATGGAATTAGAAGTCCTAGTGTACATGAAAAAAAACGTTCCTCATTTTCTCTCCTGTCGAGCCCAAATGTCCAGGTGCATGATTTCATCACCCTGAGCTAACAAAGACAATAGGGACAGAGATCTGGTGCTTTGCAAGCTTTTCTAGCGTACTATGTCGATGAGGTATTTCGTTCTATTTCAGCAGTTTGATACCCACAACGGGGCTAACCCGTTGCGGGCTTCATCTTTCACATGCGCGATGAATGGCCTGGTTACGAAAAGTCGTAATTTCCCATCGGGTACGCTTGTCATTCCATATCTCAAGAAGTGGTTGCTCACTGCCTGGTTTTGTGGTGTTGCAGGAATATTTTCAACACTCACAAGGAAAGTGTGTAGTTTAGACCTCGGGTGGTAGGCATACGTTCAACCAGTCGAGTTAAAAGAAATCTGAAGGAATAAACCAAGGAACAAACAGTCTACAAATGCACGTATACGGAAAAACGGATATCATTAACGGATACAAGTCCTGACTTGACAACCCGACAACACCAACGAAACCGGATAACGTAACCTTTGTACCTTGTTGTTTCAACTCATTCTAACTCAAGACAGTTTTTGGAAGACTGTTACCCCGAGTTGTAGCATGTGGGTTAATTTAATTAATACAAGCCAAACAAGTGCAAATAAAGAGAAAAGCATGAGAAGAGGTAAAGTGCATCAGTTGAACGTGAGAATGGAAAATGTTCATGTTTAAAAGTAAATCATTTACGCCACAGTCAGTGCAAGTCGAAGCACGAGAGTCTGGTATATAGTGCGCATATTTTCTCGATTTTATCAACACTTGAATAAGGATACACGCACCGGCGGTTATGAGGCCGAAGGATTTCGTATTCACAGTCTGAATTAAAAGCGAATTATTGTTCAAAGCATTTCGCCCAACAGTACAAACGTTCTCCTTTGCTGGATATCAGGGAGCCATTTTCGATTGTGATGTTTTTGCTGACAAGAGGATTGGGACGGCCAGTCTAGCGAATCACGTGGGAAAAAACTGAGGATAATTTCGGAATTTTTCACATCTTCCAGTTCTTGTTCGTTTCGCATCCACTAACACAGTCAATTTAACCTGGTATCGGATGGTGCGTCAAATTGAGTTCCAGTTGGAACCAGGAAGAATCTGTCCCGGGTCTCCAACAAGTCCACACCTATTAGATGTCCAGTACTTGGATGAGATTAACTGGGTTGAACCGCAGACCGAAAATTCGGCACTGAGATTTGCTTTGGACATCGCCCTCTAGGGCTCCTTAAATCCGAAGTCTGACGAGCGGGCAAGCGTTAAATTTGGCTGATGGTAGTTTGGTCTAGTTAGATTAGGAGTTGATTCATTCTTTGACACCAGCTGTCGAGCGGTTTATGCTGTCCCATTAATTGGTACTACAAAGGAATAGTCTGTGATTGGCACACATCTGTATCTGGTCCTGTCCGTTGTCCAAGGGTCTACTGTGCAACACAAAGCAACCACCCAATTCGGCTTCGAAGCACCTAGCCTACCTATCTGAGCATTCATATCAATAGCAACTACAACGATGTCTGAGATTTGGCTCATTGTAAACCTAGTGCGTCGTATAGGCTTTCCGGAGCAACTCCACAGCATAAGCAGACACAAGACACGGGGAGCGATGAGCCTCTTCCGCAGACGATGCCAAACGGACGTGCGTAAGCAACAATCAGAGGTATCCCAAAAAGCAGGGATGTTTTCGCTGAACGACTCAACACAACATCCACCACACACCACCTCGGTACTGTCCAGTCGATTTGCAGCGGCATTTGAAGTAGAAACCTGATCGGTCATGATGAGTATTTCTACATTAGTGCACGTCCACCGGCTTATGGACACCAGGACGTAAATGTAACAACATACTGCAAGCAGCACATTATAAGTGGTACAAATGTGGTCGATAGGAACGTGGGCATTGGGTGATAAACATTTACTAAGATGTTCGAGTACATGTAGTTTCCTAATCTCCGCGGTATTCACTGCTGGAGACGGAACACGTCATTAATGTGTAATTGGACGACGGAATCCATCCTAGTCAGTAGTCCTACATTCAAAGCTGTTTCGAAGATTATTCAGTCATGACTTTCTCTGTGGTCAAAGTAAGTCTGAAACACTGAATGTAGATCGCTTGCGTTGCAGCTGTAAACATCTCAGTAGTAATGTCACTGCCTCCCCCAGTAATGTGCGTATATTATGCTCCAGTATGTATTCTCATGGCAAGCTCAGGTTCAGACGTACATTCGTCTTGGCGTCTCATCGGAATGACGACATAAATTGCTAGATGGGATCACTCCATTCACATTTGTCAGCCGTGTCACATGTAACGCACTCAAGTGCATTGCCCGGAAGTCATACATTCTTCATTTCTTCACATAACTACAGTAAATGTTTTGTATTATTCTCTGACAGTCGACAACCGTGGGACTGAACCGGTTTTTGATTTATGAGCCTTGCTTATCAGCCAAATCTACAGGTGATCCAGCATTCTGACACCGAAGTTTTAGTCCGCTTATTCCATATCAGTGATCTCCTGTTGAAAGACAACAATTCCGTCTACTTGCTATGCTCGTCTTTCCCAGAGACTCATGGAATCAGTCGGCTTTACTCCACTGTCTTACTGTGGAGAAAGAGTACGCCGCATAATAGGTCCACCACATAGCACTTCAACAAAACCATATTTATATCTTTCAGACCGTTGCCAGTAACCGCAAGAACTGCTGACTAGCCGACTTTAGAGCTTCTTCCGGTCTACTGCACTAGAATAGTACATGCGAACAAAACACCAGCAACCTATCTCACTGCAGACGTGCATAGGATCTTTGTTTGCACAGCTTGGAATCACTATGTTAATTTATGTGGCTTGTGTCCATACTCCGCCCTGTTACTATGCCAGGTGTTTCTGTAGATTTTTCCATACGATTTATGACCACATCCATTCAGCCGTGCGACCCAGTTCTGCAAAAATTGATCCTTAATTCCCATAAAGCAAACTACTTACAAGGTTGCTGAAAACTCTTCGACAGCCCACGACGGCCTCGCCCTTCTTGATGCTCATCAGGTAGGAGAGAAACCGCTAAATCTCTGGTGAATACCAACTTGTTGTGCAAATGAGTGTATTTGTGGTTTGTCAGCTAAAATCCACCATCTATGGGCACGTTGGTTCGATTTGGTGCATTTTGTTCAAAAACGAGGCGAATGATGCAGCTATGAATCGGCAGCACTGCACTAAAGGTTCGCTGGCACCGAACTGTCCTGCTATTGCCGTTGATTGCAGACTGAGGCAGATACATATTCAGGACGGTAGGTCTAACACAGGAGCGTGATTGGTTGCCTATCATCAGCACTGAACGTCTTTTCTGCGGTGGTCAGCCGGAGTGTCAGTAGTCAAAAACGCCACTGCGTCTTGCCTTCGGTCTTTTTTTGACATAGTAGCTAAGTCGTAGACGAACACCTCTGGTTCATTTCCATTCTCCGCACGGTTGGACAAAGGGCGACCTGAGAGAAAACCGCCGGCGAAATGAAGTATGGTGGGATCAGTGAGAACAGTGTTGTTTTTTAAGACACCAGTAATCACAGAACGGTTTTCTCTGATCTGGTGCGCTTGAATATCACGTAACTTCGAAAAAACACCAAAATAGCTGTTTTACTTCTCTAGTGCTAAACCATCCAGAACGGAAGATAAATATTGAAACCTGGGACCAAAATACTCACCACTTGGTTTCCAAATAATTGTTACATCAAGGGATCTGAGACATGCTAATTAAACTGCAACCGCCAAATCATTGAGACTGATCACATACTCGGATCACACACCTGAGTTTGATCTCCTTGTTTCAAAGACAAGTATCTTTGATGCTTTCTGCAGCTGTGGCTTCAGCAGTCAATTGGGAATCGTTTCATCCAAGTAACTTGTCGAATTAAGGAGTAGGTTTTAAAAACATTCGACTGATAACACAGTAGGTTCCAGTAGACCTAGGACGGGGATAACAACAAGTTTCTGGAGGCATATGCGAGAATTCGACATCGAGTTGTCCAGACGAAAATCTGCGAAATTTTCTGCTGGGTTACCACGACGTTTCTGGGACACGGGCTCCTCATTCGGGCTTATTTTTACAGATATTTTTTTGGAGAACAGGTTAAACACTAGTTTGTGAGGGATTCAGCTGATTTCAACTTGAGTCCCCCGTCAAAATCAAATTGGTATGCAAACGAAGGTATTTCGTTAAACCAGAACCACGATGTTCCTCAGTTAGCTGAAAGTGGGCAAGCGAGGAAAACTGATTAATTGCAGTCGTGAATTGCGGGTCAAGTGAATCAAGACCTTACGAATGCTAATTCGCATCTTTTAACTGGTCTACTCCTAGCGTTTAATGACCATAAAATATCAGCAAGCAGTGACTGATATCACCGCACTCTGGTGAACTTGGCTGCTGCAGCGACATGCCACCACACATATCCACTAACTCCGACGTCAGCTTTGTACTCCCCCATTCTATTGTGATCTGTTCGGGAGATGTGGGCGTGCTTTTTGCTCTCTCACTCTCCCTCTCTCTCCAGGAATGATCTGTCTAAACTTGAATCTGAAGGCAAGTAAGCGGCTGACCGAGAGATGTTGGCGGCTTTTTGCTCTCTCACTCTCCCTCTCTCTCCAGGAATGATCTGTCTAAACTTGAATCTGAAGGCAAGTAAGCGGCTGACCGAGACTACACGAAATGACTGAACGTTGATTGACTGACGTTATTGTGAGTCAGCGCTTTGCTGGAACCGGTTTTTTTCACATTAATAGGCGATTAGGTCGTATTCATCGGGAGGAACCTGATTTTTACAGGACACGCTTGGCGCATCTGATAATGTTGATAGAAATACCACTGAGAATATCAGTGCTTTTGGTCGTCACATAAATACACTTTAAAGTCAACGTTGACAGCGCAACAAACGATACCGTCCCGCACCCGAATCAAAAGAGCGAAAATCGGAGTCCATGGAAGAGAACAAACAAAAAACAAGGTGCTTCTCTCCGTGTCATCATATGTTTGCTACCCTCCCTATTTTAAACAGATAAGCCCACTCGTATAACAGTATGGAGACACCTGAATTCCGACTGAAAATTTCATTTATGTTGCCGCTCCTCATTTGAATGTGCTACACAAAGATCACCTGATGTTTCTGGAAGTTGAACTGACCAAAAGGATCAGATGAATTGGTTCAGCATTCCTGTTTCGAAGAATAGCGCAATTGGATGGTTATATGTGCCTTCTAATTTCCAGTCGAGGACGGCAGATCTAGCGAAGTTCACGGGATGGAGAGCGAGAGATATCAAGTCGATATCCGAATTGTGAACTACACCATCCCTATTGATGATCATACTTGATCCGTTGAGCTCAGAAGGAGG